ACGGTCGAGTGCATTTGAAGTAATCAATGCTTTTCAATTAGCATGCTTAAGAAAAATAGTATATTTTCATGAAGTATTATGTTGACATATGCTGCCATTTAAAATACTAAAATACTTTTAAAATCTAAAATGCCTAAAACACTTTCTAGTAACCTTACAGACATCGACATTTTATTACGGTAACATCAGAATTTCATTTGTGGCATGTTAAATGTATTTTAATGGTTTTAGTGTAAAATAATAAATAATTAATTGAAATTTAAGGACAAGCTCCTTTATGAAAATAATTAACAATATCAAATCATTTATTAAATCCGTTTCCTTTTTAATATCAATCTGATACGTTTATGTACGTTTTCAATTATGCAAAGCCATGAAAAGGATGTTACGTAGGTCATGTGTCAGAGCAATATATCTTTTAAGATTGACACACACCGGAAATGTTCTTCAGCTATTTTTTCCGCAGGTTCGCGAATTGTTTGTTTCTCAAAATTTATTTACAGACTGAATTAGCTTTTAGTTGTTACAGGACCTATAAGAATATCGGAGTTTAGTGGCATGCCCAGATTCGAACACACTTTTTCTCGAACACCTGAGGGAGAAATGATTCAAAACTAGTGAATCAAAGTACTCGGCTGAATAAGACATTAATAGAAAGCTGTTTCATCTCATCTTACGATAAAATGCATTAACTTTACAAAGATTCTAAAACAGTTCAAAATATAGAATATGCTTTTAATAAAATTATTTACGTTCAAACACTATTATTCACCTTTTAGAATTAAAAGGATTCGAATTATGAATAGAAGGACCAGGCAAACTTAATAGGAATGTACAGGCTTACTAATAATGCAACCGGATCATAAAATTAATTTTAGAAAATTCGAATATATCACGTGGAGTAACAATTAAAGTTCTAACCAGTGGTTTAATTTATATTACGTCATATATGACGTCATATGCGTTATGTAAAACTCGATCACCTTGAATTGTAGTATATATTTATGCGTTTGGCACACTTGTCTATGTTTAATAAGAAACTTGATCCTGTTACAGTTCCATTGCTAACAGTTGTGTTTTATCTTATTTTATCATTTATTTCATGAGTCAATGTCCCATTCCTAGTACAGTATATATATTGTACATAGCATTATTTATGTACTGATAGCGTAGTCTTTGTTTAATAAGAAAATAGTCGGAAGTAAAATTTTAACAAATTTTACACCCTTCTGGAAACTAGTTTTGTAAGAGAGGGAAAATAAATAATATACAAATATATTTTGTACAATTCTTTATTATGAGAAGTCACACATTCATGCTATCAAAACCACTCAAACAATTTTAAAAGTTTTAGATATAGAGTAACATCGGGTAATTTCGACACCTTAAGAGATTTTTGCTCACAAATGTTTAGGTGTCGATATTACACGATCCGATTTTAACCCGAATGTGAAACTAACATTTTGGGAATACTTCTTGATTATGTAAACGAACAAGAATGTCTTGTTTGATTTGCAATATCTCTCTTACGAACATAGATATCGTCGTATAATTTCGACATGTTTCGTCTAATTTCGACATACTCCAATTTGATGAAAAGAGAACATGAAACATTTATTGTTTTACTCTGCAATTAGATAAAGATTTTATAAACCATATTCAATCATTAAATATAATTCAGTTTTTTAGTATAAGACTATAAAATGACATTCAACTAATGAAAGAATTCGAGGACCGATGAATAAAACAATTCATTTTCGAAGTAAAAATCACGTTTCTTTTAAGTTCTGAAAGGTTCGTAATTAAACAGTTCATGCACGGATATATTTGATTGATAAGAACATTACCTGTTCATTGCTTTTGATATACGATGATTTGAAGTATATATATTGCGTATTAAGAACATACATATACGCATATCCACTGACCATCAATTATCAAACTGGACACAAAACTGACAAACAAAGTTGTATTTTATCACTTACACAACTTAAAATTCATCAGTTCAACTGTACATGAAAAAATGCCATCTATTTAAACATAAAGTACACATAACCCATTTGTCAGTGTCTCCATCTTCTTCATTCATTATTTGTGCATCCAGAACACTGGCTGGCTACGTTGACCAAAGCCGTCGTCAGTGTCAGCATATGTGGGAATTTCAGAATTTGATTCTGACGTTCTCTGTAGACATGCAATACAGGACAAGCAGACGACACATTGATTATGAAAGTACACTGAACCTTTGTCCAAAGACAATAGAGGACTATCAGAGGATATATAGCGAGCAGAAGATTTAATGCTCATGACAGTAGTGGGTAGTCCTTTGTCAGTAGACGAGACAGGATAAGGAAACATCATAGGATGAGCAGACGAATCGGTGTTTATGACAGTGTACAGAGATGTCTGTGCAAGAAGAAAATACAGGGTTAGAAGACTGCAAGGGTGTATAGACAGCAATTTATCAAAGGACTTGGTGATGCTAAATCTTTATGTTAGTTACAATGCATATTTGATGAAGTAAAGTTTGCAATGTCAATACAGCGACTTGGAAATTATGAATAGCATTCTGCAGTTTGGCAACTTGAAATTAAAAAAAAAACATAGATCTAATGTTTTTTGTTGTTGTTTGTTTTTAATTGTTTTTTTTTGTTGTTGTTGTTGTTGTTTTTTCTTCTAATTAACGTATTTGAATTATTTATTAATGCATGTAGACCTAGTTACTGTTGTGAATTTAAAGTTTTAATATTTCTATGACTATGTGTCGAAATTGGCCGACAGAGAAGATAAGTATCGTTCAATTCCGACACCCCTGTACAATTGTTATGCGTCTTATAATTGAGAATAAACTCAAGGTTAAATGTTCATAACATTCATATTTAAGGTTTATTTGCATCGAAACCAATACAAAAATACGAAATGATGACAAAGTTATGTGCCTGAGTTATCGACCCTTCTTATAAGATTCTGTAAATGTCATTTTTTCGGAAAAAGTTACGAGCAATGGCATCCATAGACCGGAAATTTCTAGAAAAGGAAGAATGCCTAAGACACAAAGAGCAAGTGATGACGTCACATATAGTTCTGACATCGTACAATTGATTTAAATAAAGTAAAAAATGGTGCTTTATTGTTAATATAATAGGAAAATGAATGAAGGTGTCGAAATTACACCAGTGTCGACATTACCCGAAGTTGCTCTAGCTCTATACATAATAATTACAAAACTGACAAAACAACAATGCTCTCTATAAAATAAAGCTTCCATGGCATAAGAAATTATATATATTGCTTACATTTTATAACATTTCTCTATACTGATAAACATGCAACTATTGTTGAATAAATTTATTTGATGGATCTGTTCTATCCATTCTGATGATATTTAAACTATTTAACCTAAAAAATAGTGGGCCAGACATTTTATAAGACAAATATCAATCAATCAATGCCTGAGATCTTAAGTTACTTATTAACATCCAATTCTTCATTAAAACCAGCTAATTTCAATAAACAAACAAAGTTCCATATAAAGTGAATAGAATAGTTGTAAAAATTTCAAGATTGTTTAGTTCTCTGGAACAAATTATATGCTAACATAATAACATATAGATCTACTGAATACTGTTTGCAATGAACATTTTCAATTTTAAGATTTATAATCAATTGACATAACATATTCAAGCATTAAATTATCTATACTATAATTGTTTAAGCATAAACATAGCCAATATAGACTTGTTATCATTATAATTACATGTATAAAAATGTACTAGAATTATATATTCAAATTCCAAGTCACAAACAAACATGTCTGATGTATGTGGTTATAAGACATAACATATCTTAACATGAAATAAACATAAACATTCATATACCTAGTAAACAATTAATAACATCTTCATATAATTATATGTTTACTTATATACTAAATGAATTTACTCTACATATACATGGAAAGTTTAAAGGCACATTACGCCTCAGAAATGAATAGATTTTTATGTTTGTAAAAAAGGGCAAATGTGTGTTTTATAATGTTGTTATAATAGATTCAGGACACGTGATATTCTTATCACCTGCCAACTGACAAAATATCGAGTTTGAAAAGAAAATATGATTAGAGTAGCAAAATGTTATCAAAATTGTTATTTGACTTCCATATAAAATACTTATTCATCATTACTATACTAGTTGCTAAAATGCAAAAAGATGGCTCAGATGTATGGCCAATGAGAAACGTTTTCGAAAAATAAAAGTAATAGCATTTTTTAGAAATCAAATTTGTGTAACCAGTTGAAGAATTACACATGCATGTGTATATTCTTAAAGTATACAATAGACATTTTATAACATGTGTTAAACTTATGTACTGGATACATTCAATAAACATTTCATGCTACAAATATGTGTAACATTATGTTTACATGGAACAAGTTTAATTTAAGCCAATAAACAACACAAATGTATGATCGTATACTCAAATATAGTAATCAGTTAAATAAATATAGACTTCTGTAATGAATATTTATACTTTATTATGATAATAACTTAAAGTTCATAATGAATGGCTGTCCGATTGATAGAGGATATTGTATTCAAAATACATTTTTTGTATCGTGAATATTTGCAAAGGCCCCAAAAGTGGACCTTTCTGCTAAAATAACAAATTGGTTCCACTAATTCAAAAACACATACAGTACCGTGGAAAAGATCAAATGGAGTACTCTGTGATGGATGCACTGCATTTCAGGTCAATGAAAAAGTCTTGCATACCAAAAATTTGGAGTCAATCAAACTTAAAAGGACCAAATCAGGCTCTGGACAAGCCTATTAAGTATGAAAATTAACAAAGGGCAATAACTAAAACACAATGGAGTACAGAGTACTGATACTTGTGCACTGTACTTCTTCTCAATGAGATCTATATTCCTATGAAGTTTCAAGTTGATAGCTTTTATAGTTTAGGTGAAAATGGTTACGACAAAAATAATTTATGAGAATTTACAAAGGGCAATAACTGAAAAATAATGAAGTGCAGAGACCGGTTCTTGTGCACTGCACTTCTTCTAAATGAGATATATTATCCTATGAAGTTTTACGTCCATATCTTTCATTGTTTAGGAGAAATGGTCCAGACAAAAATTAAGCATGAAAATTAACAAAGGGCAATTACTCAAAAAGATAAGAAGATGCACTGCAGTTCTGGCCATTGAAAGAAGTAGGCATACCAAGTTTGGAGTCAATCTGAGTTATAGTGTGAACAAGCCTTATGGGCTGTTGCTGTTACCGCCGACAGAAGTAACCACTATATGTTGCCTTTTTCAAAGGGCAATAATTCTGTCAAAATCCATGTCTTACTATTTTTCCTTGGACAGTGACCTATAATGCACTCAAATATGAGCCTAAAGTTCCAATCCATCCCCATCTGTAGTTATGGAGATACCAACTTACACTCAAAAACTTAACCATGAATTTCAAAGTCAAAATATGCAAAAAGGCAAATCAGAGTTAAAGAACTTGTGTTTATCATGTTAGATGACCACAGAAATCAAGCATCTCAACTCATTTCCTTCAAGTTCAGAAGTTTTAGATACTAACTTGCAAGCAGAAATTCAAACCAGTGTGATGCCAATTATACACTTGGATAATTAAGTAGCTCTCCTTAGTCTTTGAATAGTCCAGCTTAAATGATTACTAGTATTTTAGCAATGATCTGAAATTTTGCACACAAGTTATTGAAATAGATTTTTATCAAATAGTATGAAACCTCGAAAAAAACAATTCCTATCCTATCTTGTCAAAAGATCTCAGTGGAGACCCTTTCATTAAATTGAGTTATTTTAAGTAACAGTATAAACTCATGTACACACCAATACTTGGCATAATTATAAGCAAATATAACTTATTTCTATATTTACAACATAAAACAAATGATAAAGGAATCTCTAAAATAAAACAAGTAAATGTTTCTTCTCATCTCAATGAAAACAAAATATATATATATATATATATATATATATATATATATATATATATATATATACACCATTTACTTGTCCTTTATGTCATATAATTCTATTTATCATATCACTGAAAATACAACATACTGTTCCCCTGTCTATATATATCATATCACAGATATTTATATATACCATATCCTTCTCATATATATCATATAACTGGTATTTTTACAGAACATTCACTTCTCCTACATTCATACAACTGGTATTTTTATAGACATTCACTTCTACATTCATATTACTTGTATTTATATATACCATATCCTTGTCATGTTTATCATATAACGTTTATTTTATATATACCATATGCTTGTCATATATATCATAAATCTGGTATTCATATATACCATTCAATTGTCCTTTATATCATATAACTGGTATTCATTTGTATACCAATCCCTCATCCAATATATCATATAACTGGTATTTTTTATACCATTCCCTTATCTTATATATTATTATATATCATATAAATGGTATTCATATATACCATTCACTAGTTCTATATATCATATAACTGGTATTTATATAATACCATTACCTTGTCTTATATATTAAATAACTTGTATTTGCATGTTACATTAATCTTATACTTTAAAAAAATAACCTTTACCCTTACTAAGATCAATATATCTATACTATTTCACTTCATTTTTTTTTCATTAATTTATTCAAAAACACAATTTGAATGTTATTTTCTTCAATTTCAATATTATAAATACATTTCGTTAAAATGACCAGAAATTAATATTAAACAACTAAATATTTTGCATGATTTATATTCTATCATAATGCATTATATTCATTCTTTAACTTTACAACAATATGTACATGTATATATCTAACTTGTCATTATTATCATTTTTTATGAAAATAAAGATTCTGAAACAAATTCATCATGTCCTTTTAACACAAAATAATTCAGTTTAAACACTATGTTAACTGCAAGTATCCTATATCACTGTTAAAAATTCAAGCCGTATTTTTGTAGAAAAACAAAAAAACACCACATTTATTATCACTTTTAACAGGGACTAATTTAGTTTAACAACTATGTAAACTACATGTATTCTTTATCACTTTTTGTTGAAAATTCAAACCAAAACTAATCATCATGATTAACATGTAAATTACATGTATCTCAGGTTTTTGTTGAAAAATTAAGAAATATTCTATCATCACGTTTAATATGAAATAACTGATTGTGATCTTTTACATACTGTATAGCATCATTTCTCTTCCCTCCTTCAAGTCGTTGTAATATCAATGTTAACATACCATCATTACACTCCTCACCATCTCCTGTTATATAACAGAACCATACACTCACATCTACAGTATGGGGAACACTAGGAAGACTATCAACAAACTTCTGCCATGTTGTCAAACTCATTATTACACTAACAAGCTTAATGTCCTTTAAACCCTTCATCTCTAAAGGTAACTGTATTATATTGTCAGTTATCATACAATACAATAACTGAAGCTTACTGAGATTGTGTAACAATGGTAATACACTGACTAGTCTCTCTGTTATGTTGGCATGATAAAAATGAGATTTACTAAACTCATCACCATGCAACAAAAGTTCTTTTAATTTGTAAGATTTTTTAATAATATCAAATATTTTCTCATAATTTCTGTCTTTCAAACCCCCAAATCCAAATATTTCAAGGTTTGTAGCATCAACATCTATCACTCTAACAGTATATTTCAAATCAAGGTAATGAAGTTGTTGATGTTTTGATAAATTAACATCATGCTGGTTATGACATTGACAATCAACTTTGCAAAGATGTATTTGTTCAAGATGACTGGTTCCCTCCAGAAAATTACAGAATGTAGTAGTATCATCATGACTCATTGCTATGAAACTCATACTTATTGCTACAAGATTGACCATACTAGGTAGGTTACTAACAACTGTTTTACACACTGGGTAATATATGTCAGTGTTAATGACATTATCAAGAGACAGAGATTTTAATGTTAAAGTATTTACTTTAATTGTCTCAGAAACACAATTGTTTATCTCATCAATCGTCTGTTCATTACTCTGTTCATTACTCTGTGTACCATCACTTTGTGTACTTGATAAACTTTCTAATTTTATTACAATTTTTTCAAGACGATGAAACATTGGTAAATATTTTGTAAATCTAACATTTTTTGTGTTGATGTCAAGTACATGTACATTAATAGACAGAACAGAGTCAGGAAGGATTTGATGCTGATCAATACTTGAACAAACAATATAACAATACTGATTGAATAAATCAATGGTCAAATCTCCTATATAAAACACAGGATTACTTCCTTCACTACATGGTGCATTTGATTCCTCTTTTAACTCAATAATAAGCTTTTGAATATCAGTAATACAACTATCAACCATATAAAAGTCACTACTTATTGTTCTCCTGTATTCCTGAACACGAGAGTCTTCTGACACAGTATCATATATATATTTTGAAATAGGTGTTGCTAATCTAGGTTCTAGACCACATAGCATAATGACAACATTTGACTGCTCTAATATGTCATTTACTGTTGAAAATTTCTGAAAAACTTCATAAATAAACTTTTTGGTTAATTCAACATTTCCTGTACTACCTGACGAATCAAGTTTTGTATTGAAATTAATACCAATGTAGACTGCAGCCAGAAATTCCTGCATTGATTTGTGAATAAAAGAGAACAATGAGCTTGGTGGTTCTGATACAGACAAACTTGGACATTCATCTTCTGTAATTATTCCAAGTTTCAAGCAATTTTCTCTTACTTCATCTGATATTTCTAGTTCATCTAACATACAAATGTCAAATGACAAGGACTTATCCTTAGGACAATTAAATAGTGTCTCAAAAGCCAACTGTGACATTTCATGAATTAAATGTCTGTTTAATCTTAATTTGGTTTTATCTGCTAAATATTGAGGGAGGTTTACTTTCTGGGTACCCTTCATGAGGCCAGTACTTGTTCCTGTAGTTTTCATGTCATTCCAGGTGAAGAATAATTCTAACATACCAGTGTAGATGGCACATCTTGAGGTTTTATCGAGTTTACCATCAAACCATAGACATATCAGTTGTTGCAGCATAATTGGTACCTGTTTGAAACTTTTCAGAGACCCTTCTTTGAGCTTTTCCCTACAGTATATAGCTTCTTTATTAGCATGTCTTCTAACATTTAATTGTGAGACTGTCCTAAATACCATTTCGCTTTCACATTTAAAATCAAACCCTTCCAGTTTCAGTGACTGTTCAATCTCCACATCACTTGATCTTAATGAATGAAATTTCCATGGCCGTGAAGTAGTTACTATTGTGTACTCCTTAAAGATGCTATGTTTTGGGACATTTTCAGGGGACCATTCATCTAAGCCATCAAGCAAAATAATAACTCTAGAGGATTCTTCTTCAAGAAGTGTGTTTAACATTTTCATTTGATAACATTTTTGAAGCATTTCATCAATAGAATCAATGTTTTGATACTGTCTAAGAGGGATGTAAAATAAAAAATTAAATCTTTTCATGTCTTTTACACCATTGAATTTAAGTTCATAACTTTTGCTGTCATATTCATAGTCATCACTGTTGAATTTAGAGATTGTTATGTCATCACTTTCATCCTGAATGTCATCACCGTCACCTCCGTGTTTCTTAATGTTACCCATGTGTTTTTCATTTTCAATATCTCCTCCATGTTTCTCGTTTACCTTTTCATTTATAATGTCACTTCCATGTTCTTTATGTTTCTCATTGCCACCTTCACTTTCATTGCCATCCCCTTGTTTTTCTTGTTCTTCGTTATCACCTCCATTCTTGTCATTGCCACCTTCACTTTCACCGTCATTTCCATATTTCCGTCTGCATACTTCACTTTCTTTGTCATTTTCATGTTTCTTATTATCATCTCCATGTTCTTCATTATCACCTCCATGTTCTTCACTGTCCCTTCCATGTTTTTCATTTCTGCCCTCATGCTCCTTATTTTTATTGTAACATTCATTTTCATTGTAATCTTCATTTTCATTATCACTTTGATGCTCTTCATTATCACTTACATGTTCATCATTATCACCACCATGTTTTTCATTATCACCTCCATGTTCTTCACTCTCACATCCATGTTTTTCATTTCCACCCTCATGCTCCTCATTTTTATTGTCAGCTTCATTTTCAATGCCACCTTCATTTTCATTATCACCCCCATGTTCTTCACTTCTTTGTTCTTCATTATCATGTACAAGTTCTTCATAATCACCTCCATGCTCTTCATTGTCACCTCCATGTTCTTCATTATCACCTCCATGTTTTTCATTATCACCTCTTTGTTCTTCATTATCAGCTCTTTGTTCTTCATTATCACCTACATGTTCTTCATTGTCACCTCCATGTTCTTCATCATCACCTCCATGTTCTTCATTATCACCTTCATGTTCTTCATTGTCACCTCCGTGTTTTTCATTTCCGCCCTCATGCTCCTCATTTTCATTGTCAGCTTCATGTTCCTTACAATGTGCCAAACACCAACAGTTGACCAGATATTTACAAAAACTAGTTTTTCCTGAGCCTGCATCTCCTAGAACATATACAGATTTTTGGGGGACTCCATTCTTTGTGAATATTTCAGACATTGTTTTAACCTCCACTTCCTTTATCTCCCCCTTTTCTCCTTTAATTTCTTTCATAATTTGGGGCCTAATATAAATCTCATTAAAGCTACATTTTTCACTTTTTGGTTGTAAAGGTATTGTAGGAACCTGCAGCAGGGTTTTGTGATACTGTTCTATCAGCTTTTCCCGCCATTCTGTAATTTAAATGATAATATGAAATCCAATTATTAAGAACAAATCAATAAGTAAATATTACAGAAATATATTAAAGACAAGGAACACAGCACTGAGGGCCTCCTTGAATTATAAAGACAAATCATTCAGTCAGCAAACATTACACAGACTGAAACTAGTCAACAGAGAGTCACTGTTATATAGCCTTTTCATATTCTATACAAAATACCTGATGTAGCCTTTTCATATTCCATACAACATAATGTGATTTAGACTTTCATATTCTATACACAACATCTGATTTAGTATTTTTATTTTCTATACAAGATACCTGATTTAGCCTTTTTATATTGAATACAACATACCTGATTTAGCCTTTTCATATTGCGTATAACATACCTGATTTAACCGTTTTATATTCTATAGATCATACCCGATTTAGCTTTTTTCAAATTCTGTATAACATATTCTATATACCATACCTGATTTAACTGCCGCCTTTACAAATTCTATATAACAAAACTTATTTAACCTTTTCATAATAAAACTGATTTAGCATTTTCATATTCTATATAACATACCTGATTTAGCCTTTTCTTATTCTTTTTACATACCTGATTTAGCCTTTACATATTCTACATAATAAAACTGAATTGGCCTTTTTATATTCTATATAATAAAACTGACTAAGCCTTTTCATATTCTATATAACATACCTGATTTATACTTTTTATTTCTATTATTATAACATACCTGATTTAGCCTTTTCATACTCCAGCTGTTTTTGATGAGGAGAATCTTCTTCTTTGAGTCTTTTTATCTCCTACAACATAAATTATCATACAAATAATTGTGTTTTATACAGTAATTTTCAAACATGTCTATTGTATACTGTAATATTCGTAGTTTCAGTCAGTCTGTTAAACACACACAGGCCCAATATATCTCAAGAACATCAAATCCAATTTCCTTCATTAAAAATCAATTTTATTGCAATGGACGATTTCTTTACAAAGAATTTTTCATTTTGACAATTTCTGATGCAATAATGCAATAATGTACATAATTTTATCATCAATTTTTAATATTTAGGCTGTATTGCCATATTTCAAGTTTCATGAAAATATTTTCATACCATATTTACCATATTTTCAGTCTATTTTTTGACATAGCAACCAAATTTTTCAACATTATAGAAAAACAAACACCTGCATAATCTCCAGATTGAAATCTAGCCATATCTAAAGTTTCAAAAAAATATTTGTATCACTTTTTGCGCTATCATGGGATCCAGTTTGTGGATGGATATACGAAGGGTAACCCTAAAGTTCCCTTGGGTTAAACGTGAAGGTGACTAACAACATTGCTTTAGAGGCAGTATCTTTCTATGATACAGAGGCTGAAGCACCTCCTTGTTTACCAAGTTCAGATAACAAGTTTATTGATTGATAACCTTGTATCATAATTTTATAGATCTTTTAGGTTTTTTCTGACCTGTGAAGTCTTACCTTGTGATGGTACAGGACAATATTACAACCTGTGACCATGGAATCAAGGTTTGTATCAAACAAAGAGGGAAACTAATAAAGTGCTTTGGCTTTGATATTTGTATTTATTTCTTGTCCTAAAAATTATAATTGATCAATTATAAAATACATATGATGGAAGAATATAGATTTAAACTTAAGTTTGAAATATTAGGTTGTCTTCATTAATGATTCATTAAACATAGACCATAATTTACTGTTAACTTGAAATTTTATGTTATTTTTCAATCTGGAGGCGAGTGCCTTTAACAAAATGATTAATGTCCTTATGGTAAAATTTTGTAAAAACAGTTTTAACGATATCATTCAAAACGGGATATGCGGTACATTTATTTCCATATAATGACAATTTTTTTCTGACTTGTATTATCTTATTATTTTTCTTGTATGTATGCAGTGTTTCTGCCAGCTCTGATTTTCTGAGGGTCTTTTATGACCCCCTGTATGATATTTTAGGGGTCATTTCAAATTCATAAGGGTCATGCCAATAAATTTAACAAAAATGTAAAAAAAAAAAAACAGGTAACACTTTATAAGTTTTATTTACAATATTTTGTATATTTTTCGTGAAGAAATTGGTCAATCTCTGCTATTTTGGATTATTTGTCATCCAATAATAACGCTGTATTTCTTAAAAATTATGTGTGTTAATTTTCATAGAAGAAAGAAAGTCGATACTATATTGAAATTCGTTCATAGTCGCCTTCTAATTTTCATAGTGCTTCGTAGTACCGCCTAGTGACGTAATCAAGGGCCAAATAAAGCTTGACACTAAATATGTTAGTGTTCATCCTTAGCTGTTTTTACAGAAATTAGAAACATTCTCCTGTCGCTATCGCTCCCTTCGAAGTTTCTAATTTCTGTAGAACAGCACAGATGAACACTAACATATACGCAGACTGCATTTTCCAGCAGACAGTTATTCGTTCGCAGAATATGACGACAACAAAAATAAATAATTTTGTCTGGGCGCTTTCAATATATGCAGTAACGTATAAATGCAAGCGTTTATTAACTAGTTGAAATTGGCTAAATGCCGGACCACGGACCCGGTAAATTTCATTTCTCATTAAAATTATAGTGGAGCCCACGGTAAACATTCCGTACATTTTTATACTGAATTGACGGTTTATAGTCTGTATATCTGACTTGTGTTGAAATCAGCGACGGTGAAATTCTTGCGTCACAAAATACGCACTAACTAAATTTCATTGCGTCATGGCTGAAAATAGTGCGCCAAAAACGCAAAAACGCGCTCTGGCAGAAACACTGTGTATGATACATTATCATTCAGCAAAATTATTTTCTTAGACATATTATAATTCATTACAGGTGCAAGTTTTTAACCAAGTTTAGAGGACGGAATTTTCCACTATTACAATAAGTCTTTATCCCCATTAAGACAATTACAAAAGAGTATGATAATGGCTTTTACAGAGATATACCCTAAAAATCTGATAAAAATCTGATAATAAGCTGTCTTGAAAACAAGCCTGTCTCAAAAATAAGCCACCATTTTCTTACAGTCAAAATTTACTTAAACAAGAGCAATGTCAACATGGCCATCCCTCGCCGAATGTGTTTGCTCATTGGAAGAATATATATGTAGAAGAGCAGAATAATTCAATTTTAAGAGGTCTTTTGGTAATGAAAACTGACGCCTGAAGTGATTACAGATTTGAAACCTATGTAAATACTGATGGCTGATAATAACAAAGGGCAATGACTGAAAAATAGAGCAGGGTAGGTTATCATTCTTGTGTGTTGCACTCCTTAATGAGATCTATCCACCTATGAAGTTTCAAGTTGATATCTCAAAGGCTTTTATAGTTATGCTCTGGACACAAATTAAGCATGAAAAATAACAAAGGGCAATAACTTAAAAATTATGCAGGGTACAGTTATCATTCTTGTGTGTTGCACTTATCCTCCTAATATGATCTATCCACCTATGAAATTTCGAGCTGATATCTCAAATACTTTTTGACACATGCTACAGACAAAAAAATGTATGAAAAATAACAAAGGGCAATAACTCAAAAATTAATATGGGAAGAGTTATCGTTCTTGTGCACAGCATTCCTCCTAAATAACATCTATCCACCTATGAAGTTTAATGTTGACATCTCAAAGACTTTTGAGTTATGCTCAACTCAGATGACAAATCAAGTATGAAAAATAACAAAGGGCAATAACTCAAAAATTATGAAGTGTAGAGTTATTATTCTTGTGCACTGCACGCCTCCTGAGTGAGGTCTATCCACCTATGAAGTTTCATGTTGATATCTCATAATCTTTTTGAGTTATGCTCTGGACAAAAATTAAGTTTGAAAAATAACAAAGGGCAATAACTGGAAAATTATGCAGGGTAGAGTTATCTTTCTTGTGCACAGCACTCCTCCTCAATATGATCTCTTCACTTATGAGGTTTCAAGTTGATACCTCAAATACTTACTAAGATATGCTCCGGACAAAAATGGACGGAAGGACAGACAAACGGAGACTATTTCTATAACCTCGCCGCCTTTCGGCTAGGGATAATAAAAGCCTATTTAAAAATCAAACAGAATATCAGATTGTTCAGATCTTTAGGATATATACACAGTGGTTCTTCTTGCATCAAAGATCTGTCGAACATGCATTGGCCTACTTCCAGAATGAGAAAATTGTTCATATAATACAATTCCCGTCAAATTTTAAGGTTATACTATACATCGGATTGCTCTACATGCTTTTAACTGCATAACCTTTATAGCTGATAATGATTTTCTTTCTATTATTTTGGGGATATACTCCAATTTATATTCTGTGTTTTTATGCAAATGCATTCAATAAGTAATTAATTTTCTATTAAACCTGGTTAAATTTTTATCATCCCTTGTAACAACAGACAACTGGCATCATGAATTCATAACGATTGCTAACCTTATTGTGTGCCTTGACAAGCTAATAATACTGGTCTGCCATACACAAATTAGTTCTTTTAAAACATGGATGTAAACAATACATGTACCAGTATATTAACTGGAAACAAACAATTGAAACTTGAAGATTTACCTCTTTTAGTTTTGACATCTGTGTTTTGAGCTCCTTATATTCCTCTTTAGTTGGAGCATTTTCCATTTCTTTCTTGATTTGTCTCAGAATTTCTTCAAACCCTTCAGTAGTTATAATGAAGTCTTTCTCTTTCAGCTGATGAAAAATATAATTATGTGCTATATTTTCTTTCGGTGAAAAATATGTAGCTAAGGGATTTATAATACACAACATATGATATATCAGGTCAAACTTCATTACACAAGAGCGATCAGTAATCACATGTGTCGCCTCATGATGGCCAATTTCATGTTGGGACAAAGTTTGTGACAGACAGACAGACAGTGCACAACTAGACTTGGTACTGATCATTCGATAAAATTGCACCAGTAGTTTATGAGGAGTAGTCCGGACAAGCTTTTGCGTATCTGGCAACACACAGAAAAAAACACCTTTTTATCAAAGGGCCATAACTCGGCCAAAAATCATTCAACCGGAAAACCCGTGCAATATGTGCAAGGACTTGAGCTACGGATCAATCTTGTAAAGTTTCATTGAAATTGCTTTAGTGGTATAAAAGAAGTAGTCCGGTCAAACTTTAAAAATAAAAATTATTAAAGGGCCATAACTCTGACAAAAATCATTGAACCGGAAAATGCTGACAATATGCACAACTAGACTCGGTACTGATCATTCCTGTAAAGTTTGGATAAAATTGCACCAGTAGTTTATGAGGAGTAGTCCGGACAAGCTTTTGTGTATCTGGCAACACACAGAAAAAACACCTTTTTATCAAAGGGCCATAACTCGGCCAAAAATCATTCAACCAGAAAATCCTTGCAATATGCACAAGGACTTGAGTTACAGATCAATCCTGTAAAGTTTAATTGAATTTGCATAAGTGGTATAAGAGAAGTAGTCCCGACAAACTTTAAAATTAACTAGAAATGTGTCATCATGCCACGGATGCCCCCGCATGCAGCCAAAATTTCAAATGTTATAATATTTAGTTCCAAATTTGTTTGCACAAATTATTTTTTTCATTCTATGTTCAAAGCCCTTAAAACTTTTCAATGTTAACACAAACCAATTTTTATACAATGTTCAAGGCACTGAAATTATTCAGTCTTAACCTTTTGAAAATAGCATATTGCATATTTGTAGCCAAAATAATGGCTATATACATTTCAACAAAAGTATGAGTGCTGAAACTGAAAGTTCAAAATGTTTCCAACATTCAGGAAAGATAAGTTTGTCCAAAATCATTGAACAACGACCAAATTCCAACTTAAACTGCTTATTCCTAAGATGTATCTATATCATTTTTAAAGTGAAAGGGACATAACTTTGCCAAAAAATCATCGAACCATGACCAAATTCCAACTTGACCTGCGCATTCCTTTGACATATCCATATGTCAATTTTGAGTTGAATATGTAACTTTGTTGGGTTGATAATGAACAGAAACTGTAAATTTCATATTATTTTCAAAGTGAAAGGGGCTTTACTCTGCCAAAAATCATTGAACCATGACCAAATTCGAACTTGGCCTGCGCATTCCAAAAATATATCCATATGTCAAATTTGAGTTGAATGTGTAATACTGTTGGGGAGATAATAAACGGAAACTGAAAATTTCATATTATTTTTAAAGTGAAAGGGGCATAACTCTGCCAAAAATCATCAAACCATGACCAAATTTGAACTTGACCTGCGCATTCCTTTGACATATCCATATGTCAAATTTGAGTTGAATGTGTAATACTGTTGGGGAGATAATAAACGGAAACTGAAAATTTCATATTATTTTCAAAGTAAAAGGGGCATAACTCTGCCAAAAATCATCGAACCATGACCAAATTCGTACTTGGCCTGTATTTTCTCATGACATATCCATATGTCAAGTTTGAGTTGAATGTGTTGTACCATTGGGGAGATAATGAACGGAAACTGAAAATTTCATATTATTTTCAAAGTGAAAGGGGCATAACTCTGCCAAAAATCATCAAACCATGACCAAATTTGAACTTGACCTGCGCATTCCTTTGACGTATCCATATGTCAAGTTTGAGTTGAATGTGTTGTACCATAGGGTATGTAAGTCTCGTCATGTGACTTGCGAGATCTCACGATATTTTGCACTTCCGGGTACAAACAAATATCAACAACATTGCTTATCTATATTGGGTAATACTTGTATGCCGGTGGGAAAGTAAAACTTACATGGAAAAGCAAATGATATGTGGAAATTGGCAGAGTTTTTTGTTTTGTAACGAAATGCAAATGGTTTCATCTTGTGAACAAGTATCAATGAAAGACAACTTCGTATAATCTTCAGGTGGGTGTGTCATTTCAAATTCAGTTTATCCCAATAAATGTTGAAATATTTTCATTTCCATGTAAATCTAATAAATTTGTTTCTTGATACAACATCATTCGCATCTGACACCAGACTGGTGAATTTGATTTTATCAATTTTCTATAGCGCTACCTGATTATCTCTCAGAAGTATATAATGTTTAGAAATTTCGGACAGCGCATATTTCGGATAAACGTTACAATATGATTATCAGTGTGTTTTAGTTGAATATATTCTCTTCCAACTGAAAATATTATTTATTTATAATTATTATCTTTTATAAAGCACAAACAGTCAAGCTGTATATAACCAATTTAAATTGTCATAAATTCAATGAAATATTTTGCTCCTGTAGATATTTTGACTGAGGACAGTGGTGAGATGAAAGACGTCAGTATCAATTGTAAATACACATGCATGCTCTGCTGTAAAATCGTTTTTGGTAAGAAATATATACTTAAAGCTACTTAAACTACATTAATGAAAAATAAATATTATTGTATAACATATAATGTTCTCGTTTTTGTAAATAATTACAGTGTAGCTAAATAAACAAACAGTATGCCATATGTAGTTAATTCATGTTAAATACTGTTTAAAGTATTTTTTCTCAAGTAAATGGGTCATATTTTTTAGTTAAATCATGTTTAGTAAATGGTTAAAAGAACTTAGTCACTATCACATTTTTTAAAGATCAGTTTTCAAAGCAAATCTACAAAAACTAGGACACCAAGAAGTGTTTCTTCCTTTTCAACATTATTTTCTATTCATGACAGTATGAAAATGATTGAAATCTATAGCTGACCAATTATTATTGCTTTCAACTCATGATAAATTTTCTTTATATACAGGTATGTGATTTCATGGTTGGATTTGAGTACTTGTCATGGCTCTTGATTTATTTTGGAGTGTTCACCATCAGATTAGAAATCAAATAGTGATACCACCAGGCATAGTTGAAAGGAAATGTCCATACACAGTCTTGGAGTACAACAGTGGTAGAAAATGGCAGTCCATTACAGATTTTGACTGAATTAAAGCTTCTTAAAGCTCCATGTCTTGTGTAAACTGTCTGACTGAATGTTTGTATTCTAATAAAAACTAAGGTTGAAGAGACTTCAAAGATATATGTCAGTGTAAAAATGTTAAACAAAATCTGTCTTTGTTAGAAATAAATAACCTGTCTTTATTAGAAATAAATAACCTGTCATTTGTAACTTTGTATTAACTTAATTATTCAAAGATAATTTATCTTCTGCAAATGGCTGCCCAAAACAGTTTCAACCAGGCATCATGTAGTTTCAAAACAGTTAAGATAAATTTGTTATAAATAGACTTGTAAATTAACAGGAATGATAAAAAGATAAATGTTCAGCATTAAAATGTTTCTATCAAGATTGAGTTTCATTTCATATTATCACCATGATCACTGCAATTGTAAAAGTAATGTAATGTAATGTAACCATTATTTAAATATCATAAAAATCATCTCAAAGAAAAACTTGTTTCTGAGGCAAGATGTGTAAAATTCCTTCCAGTTATAGCCTTTCACTGCTCTTAGAAAAGCCATGATTTGCATTGTACATGGCAGGTAGTAATACCAGAGTAAACAATATTAATGCAATTCATCTGTGTTGAGTATTCTGTAGCAAAACACTAGCTTGCTAGCCCTTGTAAGCCCAAGTCTCTATTCTTAATTGGAGAAGACTTGCAATTCTGCATTCCTTGAAGATTTTAGTATCAGAGGGTAGTTATTACATACCATATTCTTCTTTGGGTTTCAAATACCTGTTTTATAATTATTGAACCTGTTGACATTTGACCAAAAGTGAATTATCTATACAATACATGCAAAACTTAGGGTTTGCACTTGATACAAAACAATAACATCACTGATACATTAATATACCCATTGGAACTGTTTTCAAAATTGTCAATGTTTCAAAAAAAAAAACAAAAACAACAACACACAATGCTTTTAAATTCTGTCCATGTACATATGTGTAAATGTAGTCATTGAAGAGATGTCAAGAACTTTTTCATCAATATTATTTAGATAATGTCTGTTTAGATTTCAGGACAGACAAAATTCAAATGACATGCATAGTATTTAATATAGTCAATGCTTGCATATTCAAGCAATCTAGCCATTGCTGTTAGAGAATTAAAGTACACAGTGACACTTATTTTGCAGATGAACTCTATGATCAAGCACTGCTATAAATATATGCCAAAATAGTAGAAACAAAAAACAGTTCATAAGTTTAATAAACTTTATTTTTACACAATTTATAGTGCACTGCTTAGCATATATATCAAAGCTTTGATTGCAAATTTGTGAGCTTATCAATGATTACCTCACAATATTAGTAGTAGATGATATATAATATTTTTGCTAATCTTTACTTCATAGTCATTTAATGTCAAAATGTCACATGGCTATACTGTGATTCCATGAAAAAACCTTATCTCTGGTATGTTATCAGCTTTGGTATATATAGACTATTAGAGTATCTAGTTTTAATACTTAAAACTGCAATGAAATATGGATATTTTACTCTGTTTCTATCATTGTGACATTAACATGTTAACAAGATCATAGTGCCAAACACCATAAAATCATACTCTTTATACATTAAGATTTTTGTGCTGGATGTCATTCATCTTCTTCAGGAAAGTACATTTGACTATTCTCAGTGGCTTATATGAAACTAATATTTCACTGTAACTGTGTGTTCTCTGATATCATTCTCAAATTAGGAACTGGGAGATGGTAGTTGCAATAAAGGTCTTCATGGACAAATCCTCCTTCCTCTTTTTCCCTTTTTATCTGCAGAATGAAAAATCAATAAATATGTTGTACAAGTGAAAGACACTAGTAATGATATTTACATTACATTTAATAAGCTGGTCATGATTGACAGAAAAATTTCATATTTGAAGTAAATAAACATTAAAGATAAACAACAACACATATAATATAAAACAGTCCAAAAATATTGATCTTGAATGTCAAGCATGACTATTTTTAATGTTTTATTTACTAATCAATTATCATGCAGTGAAATCCAAAAGTTATTAAATTATAATAATATATTTTGATAATTGTTTATCTTTCCGATCTCAACTAAAAATTAATCAGTTATTTTACATGTATTTACCTTTGATGTATAGATATTTCACGTTCATAGGCAGTGCAAACAGTTGATTTATGGTCCATATTGAACAACTGTATATTCTATACTTGTCATATACCTCCTTGTCTATACATCTGAAATGGTTTAATCAAATATTATATTTTTTAATTCAATCATAATTTGCTAGGTACCATATTAACATGTATATATAATTGAAAAAGGAACAAGAATAAAATGGAAGGGAAAAAATATCCGAATTACTGTGCAATGTCCGAATTCTGTATAACTTTAATATAAACTAGAATTAAAGTGTTTCTCCATTGTTTATTTCAATAAGTTAAAATGGAATTTGAATTAATTTCTCACATCAGTAGTTTTAAAACAATACTAAAAGCTAAACAACTAGAATTCACTACCTTGACAAAACATCCGAAACAATTGTCACTATCCGAAAATAAAATAGTTTTATTAAACTCTATAAATCCCTCATTTTTCGTCAGATAATTGACCTACCTGCATTTTTTGACCCGTGCTATCCATTCCTTCAAATCTGAAGAGGACCGAAACAAATTTAACTTCTATATCCCTCGAGTTCTTCGGGTTACCTATATGCGTAACGGTAAATAAGTCTGCCGATGTACCCGGAAGTGGTAAATCGAAAGTGAAAGTAAACGAGACACAAAAATTATCTGAATTGCTCTTTTTTTTTAACTCTCACACTTTTTTAAGTGGACTTTTTAATTCTACCTTTAGAACAGGGTGTTTGGTATAGATATCTGGCTATCAGACTCTTATTTTTGTTGATTTCTACATATATTTCAGTGTAACCTGGGACTAGCAGAAAAGTTCAAATCTAGAAGGTTCCAGGTTTTTATAATACTTCTCAGTATCTTAATTTCACACTTAAAAGCTTGACTGGTTGAATCAAGATATATGGTTGTATCAGCTAATTGGAAGATATTTACATTTTCAGTGTCTATTCTAGGAAGGGGGATTTACACATACATATGTATTTTGGAGAATTCCCCCCTATTTTTTCAGAGGCAGGGGGAAAATTTTACATAGAGAAAAGAAGGAAAAAAATAAAAAAATGTAATAAATTCTCACTCAGTCACTTTTCGATAAAAACCCCCCTGTTATTCAAATCCTAGAATAGACACTGCATTTTGCAAAGTCATTTGGACTTCACAATTTACAAGTACGAAAATTCAGAGGTATGAATTATACAGGTCACAGCTAATTGGAAGATACAGTCAAATGTTTCCAATTTATTATCTCAAGTATAATAAACCTTCACCATGTTCACACCCTTTTTCAATTTCTGGATACTAGAAGTAAATATTTAATTGATATTATCAAAACTTTAACACAAATTGTTTTGTAATTCAGATTTTAGAAGTCCTGAAATTCAAAGGTATGAATTATATAGAATTTCGAAATCCTGAAAATTGTTCGGATTTTAGAAGTTTTTCCAATTTTATAAGTTCCAGATTTCCTAAGTTACTCTGTACTAATCAATTCATGAGATCTCTTTTCTTTATATTTAGGTACATTATTATGTATGTTTATGTAACTTTATTAATTAACTTAAGGAAATTATCTTTTGAATTTGACTATAATTTACCAGTTCAAACTTTGTTACCTAAACTTTGTCCTAAATTTTGACTCAGGCTTGTTATCTTAAATCATAATATGTTAAAACAGTAAAGATTTCAAACTGACATAATTCATTATTTAACTTACATCTTCAAGTTTCTTCACGGCTATCTGGGCATCTGATCGTTGTAATAGCTCCTTACCATCTTGTAAAACTTTTATCATATGGTCAATATAAGAATTTGCCTCACTTTCTTCTAATTCCATACTGCTTGAGTGAAAAATATCATTCCTAAACTGACGAACCTATTAAATAGAAAACACTAGTTCAATATTGTACTATGCATAAATATACAGTGTTAAGCAATACAAATTATTTTCTTGAAAATTGTTTTCGTACTTACCTACATATAAGATGCAATTATGAATTATACCAGGATTTCTTCCTATATTTTGGGAAAATGCCACATGGTAAATTTGGGATAACTGTTTTCAATATGGGTCAAAAATTAAATTGTGAAATTTATCATTTGGGAAAAATATGCCAGCATTCAAGATGTTAAAATTCTTTGAACAAAGCTAAATAAATCTTATTGAAACTAAACTGATCAGAACTTAAAAGATGTTCGAAACATACAGAACCTCCTCATCAAATACAAAAAAAGTGGTACCTATTTTCAAATCACCAACCTCGGGATTGGGATTTTCTTTTTTTTGGATTGGGAAAAAAGAACAAAATTTGGATTGGGAATGGGGTCTATGTATAGACCAATGGGAAAGGGAGAAAATAGCCTGTATACAAATAGTTCTATATACAAATCTACACTTGTTTCATGTTTACCTTCCCGTCCCTAGATTTGCCACTACTTGCCAGCTATTTCCACTGAAAAGGGTGGCATTAAGTGTAACAAGAGCGATCAGTAATCACATGTGTCGCCTCATGATGGCCAATTTCATGTTGGGACAAATTTTGTGACAGACGGACAGACAGACGGAAAGTGCACAACTAGACTAACCACTTTGTACTGATCATTCCTGTAAAATTTGGATAAAATTGCACCAGTAGTTTATGAGGAGTAGTCCGGACAAGCTTTTGCGTATCTGGCAACACACAGAAAAAAACACCGTTTTATCAAAGGGCCATAATTCGGCCAAAAATCATTCAACCGGAAAACCCGTGCAATATGCGCAAGGACTTGAGCTACAGATCAATCCTGTAAAGTTTCATTGAAATTGCATTAGTGGTATAAGACAAACTTTAAAAATAAAAATTATTAAAGGCCATTATTTTAACTCAAACAAAAATCATTGAACCGGAAAATGCTGACAATATGCACAACTAGACTTGGTACTGATCATTCCTGTAAAGTTTGGATGAAATTGCACCAGTAGTTTATGAGGAGTAGTCCAGAGACAAGCTTTTGTGTATCTGGCAACACACAGAAAAAGAAACCTTTTTATCAAAGGGCCATAACTCGGCCAAAAATCATTCAACCGGAAAACCCGTGCAATATGCGCAAGGACTTGAGCTACAGATCAATCCTGTAAAGTTTCATTGAAATTGCATTAGTGGTATAAGAGAAGTAGTCCGGACAAACTTTAAAATTAAAAATTATTAAAGGGCCATTACTCTGACAAAAATCATTGAACCGGAAAATCCTGACAATATGCACAACTAGACTTGGTACTGATCATTCCTGTAAAGTTTGGATGAAATTGCACCAGTAGTTTATGAGGAGTAGTCCGGACAAGTTTTGTGATGGACGGATGGACAGACAGACGGACGGACAGACGACGGAGAAGTGATCCCTATATGTCGCCACTACTCCGTAGAGGCAACACAAAAAGGGTGAAATTAACTGGAAAATGACAAAATTCCACTCTTTTTCCACTGAAGTGGCAAAATTACCACCAAACGCCACTATCCTTTGGTGGCATTTAGGTGGCATTGAGTGGAAATTTGAACATAGACTTTTTTCATGGTGGCAAAAAGGTGGAAATTGGTGAAAAATGAAACTTTATTTTGAAGGTGGAAAATGAGTGGCTTTTAGTGGAAAAGTGAAACTCTAACTATTTTCTGGGTGGCAAATTAGTGGAAAAAAACTTAGAAAATTTTGTGAATAACTTTTAGTCGAAAAAGGAAAGGGAAAACTGAGAAATGATTGTGCATTGCAGGGTTTAAAAGATTTATTTAAGTTAAAGCTCCAAACTGAAATAAATCTGTTTCTAGGTTTTATCAAAGCATCAAGTGAACTTTTTATCAAAAAAAGAATAAATTAAAGTTGAACAGTTTGAAAATTTATCAGAAACTCGTATTTCTTAAAAATCTTTTATATGCAATACTAGAATGCCATGAACACAATTCTGATACAAAATCACTGCCCATAATGGTATGATAATTCCAGCTGTAAAGTAGCAGGAAAAGACACTGAAATTGGTCGTAAAATCACTTTTCCAGGCGTAAAACACACATAATTAATTAAGAGCAAGAAAAATTAGAAAAGTATGAGGTTACTTTATTATCCATTTTTTCTTTCTTTTTTTCAGTACTTTTCTTTAGGGATGTTAAGTTTGACTTAAAACCAAAAATGCCTATAGATGTTCCATTCTATGCTTGTAAAATAAAATTACGGCTGTAAAAGTGTACTTAGCTTTTTTAGTTGCAATCTGTACATTAAATAGTTGAAATGTTCTTCAATGACCAGAAAATGCATTTTTCTGCATAAAGTTTGTTGTTAAAATCTGCTATGATATTTAATGTCAATTTTGAATAAAGTTTGACTTTGGTCTTTTCTTCTAATTAAGATTGGTCTCTTTAATATTATTTTAAACTGATATCTGGTGAGTACTTACACTTTTCATGTAATGCTTACAATAATTAAAGTGAAAAATGCAAAGGGCAATAACTCCAAAAGTATGCAAAAGAGTTATGGTTCTTAAACACAGCACATGACTCACAAAGATCTATGTCTGTGAAGTTTCAAATTAATATCTCCAATACTTTTTAAGCTTAATGATCAGAACAAAAATTAAGCATGGAGAAGTACAAAATGGCAATAAACCCCAAATCATGCAATAAAGAGTTATGGTTCCTAGGCCTTGTACTTCTCATCAATGAGATTTAGTTATATGTAGAGTTAAAAATTATTGTATCAAACATTTTTTGTACTATGCTGTGCAGATTAAAACTTACAAAGGGCAATAACTCCATAACTTTGCAGGACAGAGTTATGTATTTTAAAGAAGAAAAAAAACATGAATCAAACTTGTTAAAAATAATATTTAAATGCTATTTAATAAATATACATAAAAAATAGATCAGCCTTCAAGATAATGAAGCACTGTGCTTGCTTATTATACATACACAATATAGTATGCCTTTCAGAGGCTTTAAATCTATTGTAAAAATAATTGTGTGAAAAGTAAATAGCTAATAATTCCTGATAATTTCTTATAATCAGGATAAGTAAATACTAGCTAGTAAATACTGCATCCTCTAAGATTTAACAACAAGGCATACAACACAGATCTGATAAAACTACTGCCCTCTTATCTAGTAATCTCTGCATGGGGGTTAATAGTTTACTCAAGCTGACCAGACTGTTCCATTTGATTATTTTGGGAGAGGCAACATTATACATGTTATATGTAGAATCTGTGTTAAAATAGCATGCTAAATTATCTTTCAAAAACTTATTTCTACTCAATCTATTTAGGTATTAGACATAGTTTATACATTCAAATGAATGTAAAAATAAAATGATGGGTGCTATGGTTTTTGAATAATCCCTCACAGTTTAAAATTATAATGGAACTTTCCAGTTGTACGGTTGTAAAGTTTGAATTCAAAGGAATTGAGGTCAGTTAAAGCTTGCAAAAACAAAGGAAATGATTGGTATTGTAGCAATTCTGGAGATATTATTTTGTTTAAAATGTAAGGGTGCATATTTTTGATTTCTCAAAGAATACATTAAAAGTCTTATTAGTGTGGCAAATAGAAATGAGAAGTTTTAACTGAAGATTATAGATTATAAAATTAGACAAGGAGATAAACAGCAGAATCATTCCAAGTCAAAGTTTCAGGTAAGCAACTTTTACATATAACATTTATTATTATTTTTGCAGAAACTATTAAGTTTTTTAACAGTAAAAATATGAAGTGGTATTGTATAAAATTATGTTTTAAATTTGTTATGTTTGTAACTTGACTAAAAAAAGAAAGCTGAATTTACATATAAAGAATGTAGGAATGTAAAGAATGTAGGAAGAGCTTCATCATTTCATAAATACAGTATGTTTGAGAAAATAATTATAGAAATTAATCAGTAAGTACAATATCATTAATATGTACAATATTACATCAATCAAACTATAGATAACCAGGTACCTATTACTACAACTTTCATGCTATAAACATATTTCCTTGTGTGTCACATGTGAAGCAGATCAACAGTAACTGTTTTAATAGTAAGCTTCATTCCTTCATTGTTGTAATTCAGCTTTCATGGTGCAGTAGATATATAACCATAACTAGACAGTCTAGAGTAACAAGCTGTTAGGAGAATGACAGTTCATAACAGAAACAGCATTAAATAAGAATTATTCTTTTGCAGACACAAAGCAATGAGGAGCAGCCTGGAGCAACACACTTGTTCTTCAGTGGCTTTACAAAGGTATCTTGTTAATTCAAAGTTATTTTAGAATTGATAGGAAAGAAGTGTCACAGTACCCAATAAGACACTTTTCGGTTCTTCATAAATATAGCTATTATGCACTATTTACAAACCTACTTTTATTCAAACTCTTTATGACACTTTAATTTGCATTTACATTTAGTTTTACAAATTTTAGAGTTTTTGTACACCTAAGTTTGAAAATTTTGTCAAATATTTATGCTGATGAAGGTTCGTTAAGAACTGAAACTGGAAGATTATTAAATTACTTAACCTGCACTGATGTTGACGTGTTGTATTTCTTTATTTCTTTCTTATTTTAAAATTTTGGAGTTGTATACATATACCATGTTTCATTTTCTGTCTTTACTTATTGGATATTGATAATTATATTTTAGGACCAAGTGATGGCAGAACTGAGGCACTTATAATGCCTCACATGAGAAAGGTACAACAAGGCTCTTCAGAATGCTATTCAATATAGAGGAGATTAAAGGCGGCTCATTGTTTGGTATGAGAAAATGGAACAGAGAGTCTGACGCCAGACCTGCTTGTGCAGACAAGGCAAAACTTAAGTTCTTGAAAGGTAACTAATGAACTGAATGAAAATATCATTTTTGATTCTGCGTATATTTTCTGCCTTGGAGTATTAATAAATAAGAAAAGTTTGATTCTTCCACGTCTGCAATGCTGTTTTGTTAAGGTTTTAATCATATCTATGCACTCAACTTGAATATAGAAATATCCAATAGTCATGTAAAAAATTAATGTAAGCTAATGTTTTCCATTATTGTAACAATTATTCATAATATTTTTTTGTTTTAGATTGTGCGCTGGAAAAGTGGCTGACAACCCAAAGGACTGAAATCCATAGGGTGATTCTGCACCTCCTCAAACTGTCCAGGAATAGAAAGATAAACTGAAGATAATAAATGGACTAATGTGTTGCTATTTTTTGAGACAATTATTTCATATGGAGACATTAACATGATTAAAAAGGATTATTTTTAAAATTTGTTTGTTTCTCTTTTAGGATACAGGGTGACTTTTAAGCAGTTTCCAGCTATTGCCACCCACAAGGTGGAAAATTTCTGAAAGGGTGAAAATAGGTGGCATTTAGTGGAAACTGAATTTGCCACTTTGTGGTGGAAAAATGGTGGAAAAGTGTCTAAATACTCCACCAACTTTCCACCCTAATGGTGGCAAAAGGTGGAAATAAGTGGCATTTGGTGGAAAATGAGTTTGCCACTCAATGGTGGCATAATGGTGGAAATTCGTCTAAATACTCCACCATCTTTCCACCATGATGGTGGCAATTAGTGGAAACAAGTGGCATGTAGTGGAAAATGAGTTTGCCACCCCAAGGTGGCATAATGGTGAAAGTTTGTCTAAATACTCCACCAACTTTCCACTCATTGGTGGCATTAAGTGTAAAAAAGGTGGAATTAACTGGAAAATTATATACCATCAGTCCTGCTCAAATTTTTCACCATTTTCATGATTTAGGTGGCGTTTTGGTGGCATTTTGGTGGCATTATTGGTGGAAAATTGTCTAAATACTCCACCATTGAAAAGGGTGGCATTTAAGTGGCAAATCTAGGGACGGGTTTATGCCGAAATAAGTCTATCTATCTATCTACAGTAAATATTAACATAAAATTTTGCAACAAAAACGATTGGTGATTTTTTTTGTTTACATTTGTTGTGTATCATTAAAGTGGTGAATAACTTTATAACCTTCATAGTTAAATTTTCATTTTCTCTTTTACTTTGATGCTGTATATACAGCATTTACATTACAATAGAGCTGATAAAAGATCATTAGAAGAACTTTTAATAATGATTTACCGTTGAAAACAGATTGTTTGTTCCTGTGACATTGCATGCAATGTGGCTATGAAAATACTGGTTATTAATCAATAGGTGTAATAACCCAGTACAATCAGTTTCACTAGCAGATTTCTTCTGTCCGTACCCTGGAGCATTTATAAAACACTGACAAATGCTCCAAGGGTCTGTCGACCACTGCTGAGCATCGCTGTTTTTCCAGTTAGGAGCAGGTGGTGAAGATGCATGATGTTGCACAATATAGTCATAGATGGCGCCACATATTTTGTTCGGACAAGCAGTTTTGCCCTTAGTAAAGCAACAGCTGCATCTTACTTGCCCAAGAGGACAAACTTTGTTTCCAGCATTCCCTGCTGGCTTATGGTCTGGCTTGAGAGTATCAACTTGACAGCTGCCACACGTCGCATTTGATGGTAGTGATTTTGTAGACCGAATGTTCTGTAAGATATCCTTATGTTGTTGGTCAGCTATGTCATTACAGAATGGTACCAGTCCCTCCTTTAAATACCCAAGTCCTAAACCAGCCTTTACCCACTGTCTGTAGTTTTTCTTCTCTAACTGAAGTTGATGTGCCATACTGATAAACTACCAATATCTAAACAAACAAACAAACAATTTTGTTAAAATTTTATATAAATAGTTTAGAGTGAAGAGTTTTGTAACCATCTGAATGATGCACGGACGGACGATAGACACCAGACAAATTGTGATTACAAAAGCTCACCTTGAACATTTTGTGCTCAGGTGAAAAAAACAATCAATGATATACAGTAGACTTGCTGAAATAACAAGAGCTGTCGGTAGGACAGCAACGCTCGACTATTCTTAGTGCTTAATAGTAAAAAAAATGCTTGATACATTTACCTCCTCCTGTTTACAGGTTGGGGTCATGATGGTTAACAAGTGTGCAAAGTTTCAAAGCCATATGTCAATGGACTTTGAAAATATTTGAACTATTACAAAAACTTTAACGTAAATTCTAAGTCGAAAAAGGGGCATAATTCTGTCAAAATGCTTGATAGAGTTACCTTCTCCTGTCTACAGGTTGGGGTCATGATGGTGAACAAGTGTGCAAAGTTTCAAAGCCATATGTCTATGGACTTTGAAAATATTTGAACTATTACAAAAACTTTAACGTAAATTCGAAGTTGAAAAAGGGGCATAATTCTGTCAAAATGCTTGATAGAGTTACCTCCTCCTGTCTACAGGTTGGGGTCATGATGGTAAACAAGTGTGCAAAGTTTCAAAGCCATATGTCAATGGACTTTGAAAATATTTGAACTATTACAAAAACTTTAACATAAGTGGTTACGCCGACGCGGACGCCGACGCTCGGGTGACTGCAATAGCTCTACTTATTCTTTTTGAATAGTCGAGCTAAAAATCACACAAAGACATTTAATCAATTTATTTTGACAAAGTTCAAAAGACCTGGCAGACCTTTTATCTCATCAAAGAGGCATGTCGGCAATCATCAGCAGAAAATAATTTGGTCATTTAAATTGCAGGAAATTTTGTTTGTTTTTTTTCCGTTTGACAGAAGATCTGAGTAAAATAAAAATCTGTGTTTAACCACTTGTCATTTCACTTATTACTGCAAGACTTTTCTACATAAGCAAATGTTTGTACCAATTTATTTTTGTATCATTTGTGGGGGGGGGGGAAGGTTCAAAGGGGAAAAATCATTTAAATCATTTACATCTATAAGAGTGTCGAGTGTCTTTTTGTTTATAAAACCTTATTTCAAAGTGTTTTCAATAGTCCTGTGAACCCCCCTCTACATTTGCTTTTCACTCACAATTGGCCCCCACCCCCCTCGCCCATCAAAATAACGGGGTCCCAGTCATAATATTTTGCTGACATTGGCAATATATTATTATGTAATGCTTTGATCTAAAATTTCAGGGGTTGTAATTATTGACCTTTTTGAAAACCTAGCTAAACATCATTTTCCGGTACATTATAGATTAAGCTCTTAATTAGGAATAACAACAAATGAAGTTCTTAATACAATTTCATGATATTTCTATTTTTCTATCATGTTTAAGATGAAAAAATTGACGTGTTTTAAATTATCAGTATTCTTTCAATATCTATTGCAAATTTTTCAAAAAATAAAAGGTTTATTATGAAAATCAATCCATCAAAACAGACGAATGTAGAGCGCTTCACGACTATTTGTGCAGGTAGGTAATAGAAACTATGTTGTGTTATTGTTCGCATGCGTTTATTTGTACCTCCCCCTTTTAAAATTTATGTTTTACCTGTAGAATTTGGTGTTGCAACATCTCGTACGACTAAGCAATTTTGTGACAGAAGTTAACAGTTTGGAATAAATTTCTTTAAGTGGGTTAAGGGAATCAGAATAGAGTTAGTGTTTATCAATTGTTGATTGAACACCTATGCAACGCTGTATAGTTTGTGGAAAAATTTTATTTAATTAGACGAAAATCTCGCATGACTTTGTGGGTGGTCGAAAATTCTCTATTTAGTGAGTAATGCCCCTTGTCTATAATTATATACATAGTGTTGTTTTGGGCGCATTTTTTCATCCTAAAGCAACCTGTATGTGTTTTTTTACGGTTATTAATCGATGAATGAATGTTAATTAAAAATTAATTGGATATGTTTATCTTGTTTGAATGTAATGAATTTCCATATTTTAATTAGTTGCTGCAATAAGTGTTTTTTTTTTGTTTTCGCAGGTTAGACAAAGAGATTAAAGGTGCTATTTTCCAACCTATATTTTTTCAGCAGTGGAGTTCAAACAGACTAGGGCAACCATCTAAAACCACTGTAAAAATACAACAATAGCATTTTACCGCATAATATTATAATTATGCTTCATTTATGAAAGAAATAAAGAATAGATACAGCATTTTTTTTCACTACTTTGGGAATGGTGCCGGTACCAGACTGATTGGGAAAAAATGCGTTATTTTGACTTAAATTGGGATTTTTTTAATGCATTTTTTCAGCTACAAATAAGATTGGTCATCATGAATAAAGACAGCTAACAGCTTCTCCTTTACAGGTAGAACTAAAATTCTACCTGTACAATAGTTATTGAGTGGTGATTTATATGAATATGTTTTGATTTAAATGATTTCAGAGAAATCACTTGGCCTTGTGGGACTTTGAAAAGCCATTTTGGGAATTTTAACATTGGAAATTGGGAATTTTAATGTCTATTTTCTATTGGGAACAGTACCGTTTTAGGGTAGTAGTTATATAAAGAAAAAAAACACTGAGATAAACTAGTTTTCACTGGTTGATACTTTGCAGGTCTATGCTCATGATATTGATGAACAACGTAAGTAAAAGTATTATGGTGTACTGTCTCCTGTAGTGTGTAATTAAAACCAATCAATGGCACACTCAATAAAAATGGCCGCTTATGGATGAAGTCAAAGTAGGATTGTTCATGAAAAGGAATAGCTGGAAAAACAGCTTAAATTTACCCATTTCATGAAGGTTAGAGATTTTTTAAAAACTTACAACATTTTATACAATACAATCACATGGTTTTTATAGACGCATCCAAAACAATCCTTAAGGGCGTCGAAACTGGTCACTCGAGGATAGGGGTGATTGCCATTTCTACTTTCGTTTTCGGTACACACTCGTTTTGATAATCCTACCCACACACAAAAGGACTGGCCGTTTTACAATCATCAATTAATGTAAGGAATTCATTTGAAGAAGAGCTTTACAATAGTCTAATTAATGCTTGTTGCATTTTAAAACGTGGAAAAAAAACGTTTTTATCTAGATATATATCTTTTTATTCACTTATGATACAGTATAGAACTTTTAAGCATATCCTTAGCATATCATTACTATTTATTAATTATTATTATTTTATTTTAAATTATAACATTTAATGTCTACATCCCATATTATAGTAATTTAACTTATCTTTTACCATTTGTCTTTCAAAGTTTAATATCTTAATGTGCTTCTTTTATGAGTTTTATGTTTATATCATTATGCATGTATGTCGGTCAAAAGCTATACATAGCTTATGTTGTGTAAAATGTTATATATATATATACCGACAATAAATAAATTTTGATTTGATTTGATTTGATTTGATTTGGAAATACCCCAAAATTTATTTTACTTCCTAGTTTCGTTTTCAATTGAAAAAACTTTGGTAATTTACCTGGGCGAGTTACTTATTTTTGTTTATTATGTTATCATTTCATCTTAGTACGAAATATTTTACTTATTGGTTTCAAACTTCACAAGGTACTTACTGCAATTTCTTCAAATTTAGAGAAAATAATACCCTGGACTTTTTTCGGGTCTCTCTTATGGCGATCAATCGCTACAGTGATTGTGGGCAATCAACCGCTGGGCACTAGAACACTAAATCTGTGTATTTTCTTCCTCGGTCCGCCTTTCATACAGCTTATTACGGTACGTTTAAAAAGTATTGTAACTCTATCAAATGGAAAAAAATCTTTAAAACATTACATATAAAGAACAGTGGTGATCGTAGGGAATGGTTGTCCAGTCAGACTTATTATGATAATTCGTATATAATTGCTTCTTATAGCCCTATGAAAATAAAATTGGCTAACGCTACTATATTAATATTGATCATATCAATATTACTTTTATTTTTTTATGTTCTGTACATTGCGACCACGAATTCATATTATGGTTCCATATGAGAATGACCTATATATTGTCTCTTGCGGTGCCACCGGTACACACCATTGGCCTCATGAAAATACATTGATGGTTAAAGGACGAGCTTGTTCTATAATAATCCCCGCACAGGATTACATATGCTCTTCTTGGAAAAATATATAAAATTTACCGCTAAAGCAAGAGTATTACGTCTCCTATGTAAGCCACGTATGACCCCCATGAAAAATTATAAACGGTTGCATTGTGTTTCTATTACTTTAGCCACGTTATGGCCCCGTGTAAAAATTAACCGTGTGCTGTCTATTTGCTATGGAACTCTAGCCACGAATCCCCCGTGTTAAAACTGAAAAAACCCGGGTAGAAATAGGCTAAATTTTTCCTTGGGGTTCCCACGAAAGGGCCTCAAAAAAATACTTAAAAAGGGGTTTTTAAACCTGAATTTGTTTTTTTTCCCTGAAACAGGGGAAAATAGGCCCCCTTTGGGAAAAATTAAAAGATACCCCCCCCCCCAAACCCCAAGAGAAAAAGCGTTTTTTAAAGGTAGCCTCTGAAAAAATTTAAAAGGGGGGAAAGTAATAGCCCTGTCAATTCGCTTTTATGTACCACTTTAACCCCCCAATAAAAAGTTCAAAAGGGCTGCTAAAAGGGACTGTGATTTTTCCTTACTTGGGCCACGTTGGCCCTTTTTAAAAAAAACTAAAATCTGGGAAATTTAATAGCCCTGCCTATTCGCTTGTGGACAGGCAAATATGGCCCTATGTAAAAAACTGAAATGACCTTTTAGATATAGGCTGTATATTGGTCTCTTGCAGGCAGCCACGTATGACCACATGAAAACACTTTATTGGTTAAAGGCGAGCTCGTTTATTTGTCCCCGTGCAAGAGTACACACCCCTTTTGAAAAATACCAGAAGATTACTACGTAGCCGCTTTTTGGTACCGGTGAAAAATTATAAAAAGTTGCAGCATGAACTGTGCATTATTTCTTGTACTAACCACGTATGGCCCCGTGTAAAAACGTGAATGGCAGCAGTACTGGTCCTGTCTATTCGCCTGGTGGACAGCCACGTATAGCGCCGTGTAAAAACTGAAAATGACTTCGAGTAATAGGCTGAATATTGTCTCTTGCAGGTATCCACATATGACCTCATGAAAATAAATATGGTTAAACGCCGAACATGTTTATTTTCCCGTGCAGGGGGTACATGTGACCCCTTTGGAAAATGACAGATAATTTTAACCCTACTAGCAAAAGTATTGCGTCTTCCTATATAGCCTAATATGGCCCCCCTGACATTCAAAAGGTCGCAGGCAATGGAATGTGCATTGTTTCTAATTACTTAGCCACGCGATGGCCCCCGTGTAAGAAACTTTAATGTCAGCCGTACTGGACTGTCTATTCGCCCCTGGACAGCCACAATATGGCCCCGTGTAAAAAACTTAAACGACTTTAGTAATAGGCTATATTTTCACTTGCAGGTAAGCCACGTATGGCCCCGTGTAAAAAAACCTAATCTCGGTAAGTACACGGACTGTCTATTCGCCTTGTGGACAGCAACATATGGCCCGTGTTAAAAACTGAAATGACTTTAGTAATATGATGTATACTCCTTGCAGGTAGCCACTTATGAAACCCGGTGAAAACTTTAAATCTCTGCAAGTAATTGCCTGTCTATTCGCCCGTGGACAGCCACATATGGCCCGTGTAAAAACTAAAACGACTTTGTAATAGGCTATATATTTTTCTTTGCAGGTAGCCACGTATGGCCCCGTGTAAAAACCTAAAAATCTTGGTTTAGTTACTGGACTGTCCTTTTCGCCTGTGGACAAGCCACATATGGCCCCGTGTAAAAACTGAAACGACTTTTTTAGTAAATAGGCTGTATATTTATTGCTTGCAGGTAGCCACGTAAATGGACCCCGTGTAAAAACTTTAAAGTCTCGGAAGTAATAGACTGCCTATTCGCCCGTGGTCAGTCCACGTATGGCCCGTGTAAAAACTGAAACGACTTTAGTAATAGGACTATATATTTTTTACTCTTGCAGTAGCCACGTATGGCCCGTGTAAACAAACTTAAATCTCGGCAGTACTGGACTGCCTATTCGCCTGTGGACAGCCACAAAAGGCCTCATGTAAAAAAACTGAAACGGACTTTAGTAATAGGCTATATATTCTCTTGCAGGTAGCCCAGTATGGCCCCCGTGTTAAAAAACTTAAATATTCGGCAGTCACTGAACGTGTCTATTGCGTTGTCGACAAGCCACATTATGGCCCCCCGTCTAAAAAAACTGAAAATCGAACTTTAGTAATAGAACTGTAATTTCTTGTGCAAGGTAGCACGGTATGGTCCCCGTGTAAAAAAACTTAAATATCGGCATTACTGGTTGTCTTTTCGCCTGTGGGACAGCATCATATGGCCACTTGTAAAAACTGGAAACGTTTTTTATTAAATAGGCTATATATTTCCCTCTTGCAGGTAGCCACGTAATGGGCCCACGTTGTAAAAAAACTTAAAAATCTGCGGCCCAGTACTGGTCAAGTCTATTTGGCCTGGTGGACAGCCAACATATGCCCCGTGTTAAAACTGAAACGACTTTAGTAATAATGTAATATTTATCTTGCAGGTAGCCAGTTATGGCCCCCGTGTAAAAAACCTAAAATCTCGTAGTACTGGACTGTCTTTCGCCTGTGGACAGCCACATATGGCCCCATGTAAAAATATCTGAAACGACTTTGTAATAACTGTATTATTTTATCTTGCAGGTACCCAAAGCGGTTATGGCCGTGTAAAAACCTAAATCTCCGGTAGTACTGGACTGTCTATTTCGCGCTGTGGACAGCCGCATATGGCCCCCGTGTAAAAACTGAAACGCTTTAGTAATAGGCGCTGTATATTTATCTTGCAGGTAGCCACGTTATGGCCCCCGTGTAAAAAATTAAATCTCGGAAAGTAAATAGACTGGCCTATTTCCCCGTTTGGTCCCACAATATGGGCCCCGTTGTAAAAAACTGAAAACGCAATTTTAGTAATAGGCTATTATATTTTACCTTGCAAGGTACCAGTATGGCCCCGTGTAAAAACTAAATCTCGCGTTAGTACATGGACTGTTTATTCGCCTGTGGACAGCCACATATGGCCCCGTGTAAAAACATGAAACGGAAACTTTAGTAATAGGCTGTATATTGGGATATTGCCAGGTGCCACGTTGTGGCCCCGTATAAAAAACTTAAATCTCGGGAAGTAAAGACTTGCCTATTCGCCCCGTGGTCAGCACATTTATGGCCCCTTGTAAAAAAATTGAAACGACTTTAGGTAATTAGGCTATACATTTCTCTTGCAGAGCCACGGTTGGGCCCGGTGTAAAAAACCTAATCTCGGAGTTAATGAATACTGGCCTATTCGCCCGTGGTCAGCCACAATTGACCCTGTTGTAAAAACTGAAACGACTTTAGTTATAGGGCTATAATATTCTTCTTACCGGTAGCCAAACTTTGGATCCGTGTGGAAAAACTTTCAAAACTTTCTGCAAGTAATTGCCTGTCTATTCGCCCGTGGACAGCCACATATTGACCCCGTGTAAAAAAACTAAATCGACTTTAGTAATAGGCTGTATATTTTATTTGCGGTTAGCCACGTATTGGCCCTTCCTGTAAAAAACCTAAATCTTGGAAGTAATAGTACCCTGCCTATTCGCTGCCTGGTCAGCACATTATGTCCCGTGTAAAAACTGAAACGACGTTTAGTAATAGGGCTATAATATTCTCTGCAGGTAGCCACTGATGCCCCGTTGTGAAAACTTTTAAACCCTGGCAGAATTGCCTGTCTGATCGCCATCTTGACAGCCACATATGGCCCGTGTAAAAACTAAACGACTTTAGTAATAGGCTGGTATATTTATCTTGCAGGTTGCCACGTATGGCCCCGTGTGAAAAACTTAAATTTATCGGAAGTAATAGCTGCCTATTCGGCCCCGTGGGTCAGCCACATATGGCCCGTGTAAAAACTGAAACGACTTTTTAGTAATAGTGGCTATATATTTTCCTTGCAGTAGCCACTGATGTCCCCGCCCTCGGTGGAAAAAACTTTAAAAATCTCTGACAGTTAATTTGCCCCTGTCTATTGCCTGTGGTCCAGCCAAATTATTGGCCTCATGTAATACTAAAACGACTTTACAATGGCTATTATTTTCTTGTTGCAGGTAGCCTGGTTTATGGCCCACCGTGTGAAAACTTAAATCCCTGCAGTAATTGCCTGTCTATTCGCCTGAAAAAGGACAGCCACTATGGCCCCGTGTAAAAACAAAACGACTTTAGAATAGGCTGTCTTTACTTGCAGGTAGCCACGTTATGGCCCCCGTGTAAAAAACCTAAATTTCGGGAAAGTAATAGATGCCTATTCGCCCGTGGTCGCCACACATATGCCCCCGTGGTAAAAACTGAAACGACTTTAGTAAATAGGCTAATATATTTCTCTCAGGTAGTGCCACTGATGGCCCCCGGGTGAAAAACTTAAATCCCTGCAGTTAATTGCCTGTCTATTCGCCCATGGAAGCCCATATGGGCCCCGGTAAAAACTAAAACGACTTTTAGAATAGGCTGTTATAATTTAATCTTTGCAGGTAGCCACGTTAAGGCCCCCCGTGTA